TCTCGCCCTTCGGGAACCGGATGACCCATATGAAATTCGCGCCGCTCTGTTCCAGGCCGTGGGCCAACTCTTCCCGGTCGGATTTCGTTAGATAATACTCGCTCCCGAACGACACGTAGACGGTTGATTTTGGGTTCTTCTTGTCCAGCCATGACACGATTTCTGGTTTCTCGTTGTCTGCGTTGACTCGTTGAACCAGAGGAGCCACCGGGAGAACCTTTTTAAAATTAATAAATAATATTAAAATATTTTATTATTCTTATATTATGCAAAATATTTAGGCTACGGCTATTGAAAATTTCGCAACTAATTGTTTCTTAAATTTTTTTATTAATTTTTATATTTATTTATCTTAATTATCAAATATATAATATTTTTTGTTTGTATTACCCTTCTAGCCTTACCTATTATATAATAGTATTTTATTTAAAAAAATTAAAGATAATTAATATTGTGGTCTTTCGCCACCATTAAAAAATTAACTCATCAATTTCTATAGAAAAATATCTATTTCTATATTTATCTCTTTAAATTGTCAAACATTTAATAAACGATTAGATTACTTCTTACGGTTAAGGAATCATATATTTTTCATTAATTAAATTTCGTTTTTAAAGTTCAATCACTATAATACACAGTCACAACATGTGTATATCTTAATAATAGTTGACATCTACTTCTTGTTTTAAAGTCCGAGATTTTAACTATTATACAATTTGTTATATTAAAAAAACAACAACAAAAATATAATAAACCTAAACACTAAGATTTAAAAAGACAAAACATTAAAAATGGGCAGAAAAGCTCTGAGTTGAAATCTCCTCCGGACGTTGTAGTTAAAAAAAAAAAAAGATTTAAGCCAAAATTGAATTTGATAAATACTCTTGAATTTAAGTTATGGATTATGAGGTAATTGAAACCCAACCTTCTTCTTCAATGAGGAAGCGAAATAATCGATATATTTCCCTTCAAACTCCACGAAAGTATTAGCCAGAATAACGCTAGAAGACTGTTTCACACAGTTAAGAAGCCGCATCGCACAGTCCCGACCCAGTTCATCGGAAGTCTTCCGGCGGCTCGATGAGATCCAGTGGTCGGAAAGATCAAGTTCCGGGAAAGGAAACTCCTCGCCAGCGCTAAAAAACGCGTGAGCCAAGCGAGTGAGAACCGCGACGCCAGTAACGACAAAGTTAACGACGGGAATATTCCGCGCCACGGCCGCCCGAACCGCCCACGGCTGGAACAGGTCGGACACGACCAGGTCCGGCTCGAGCTTGTCGAGCAGGTCCTCGAAATCGGGAGCCGCCGCGTCGCAGGCTCTGATGAGGCCCGACTCGAGGTGGAGAGGGATGCCTTTKGTGGTGTGCATGTGGGCGGGGAGCTCCGGCGAAGCCGGAATATGAAGGTCGACGAGTTGGATTTTGCTATCAGTTTTTGAGAGCTTTGGCTTTATGCTTTGGAGATTTATGGGGGAAGAGCATATGTAAATTTGGAACTCTTTTTTGGCGAGTCTTTTGGCTAGTTCGAAGAAGGGCGTTATGTGGCCGTGGGCTAGCCATGGGAGCATCAGGATTTTTGTGGCGGCTACTTTCTCGGCGGCGGCGGCCATGGCGGTTTGCGGCGGCGATGTGTCTCTCTATATCTCCGTCGGATTGTTGGGGGTTTATAGTTGTTGATTCATAGGATAAGAATACGGTGCAAAAACGTGGAAAACGTGCCGTTTGTATCGACTTGGTGAGTAGTTTCACGTGTTTTATGTTTGTTTGCAGTTTATTGCCTTCTTAATTTATAAGAAAGGACACTTTGTTAAATAATGTATTAGTTTTTTTCATGGATTCATATGGTTGATTTGGCAAATAATGTAAAGATATTTGAAAAATTATCATAACCTATATCCTATCACCTATATCCTATCATCTCAGTACTTTAGAGTAATGAGTGATTTAATATTTAAATACATGTATTTTCATTTGTCTTTCATTGAATATTGTCTTGTGTAATTCAAAGTCTATTTAAACTTTTATGTTTATTGATGATGTAATAAATATTGAACGAGAGAGAATATATTTTAAAATTTTATCCACATTTTGCATATTATAGATTTTCAAGATTTAGAAATTATACATGAGAAAATATAAAGCAAAAATGTAAAATTTTACCATTCTTAACGAGGTTAATGAATTTGTTACTAGGTGTGCCATAATAGTTAAATTAATTGTATAAAATTTAATTGATTATGTTAACATGATTTTTACCTTTCACGGTATCACAAACTTATGACCAATTCAGAGAGAAATGCAAAAACAAAAAATATTTTTAAAAATGGTGGTCAGGATAACATTTATCGATATACGTATTTTCCTTTAAAAAATGAAAATACTTTGTCTCGTTGGGAGTGATGACCAAATATTATACTCACTACCATTGAAAAATTGACAATTCATTAATTTTTATAAAAAATCTCTATTTTTACATTTATCTCCGTTAATGTTAAATGAGTCAAGTATTTTCCTAAAAAAATGAATTTGTTTGGTTTATATAGGGTGTGAGATTTTGAAATTTTATTTATATCCATAATTTAAGCTAATTTATTTTGAATACAAATTATAATCTAAATTCATTTTTAATAGTTTTTGAAAAATAAATATTTAATTAATTTTTTAAATTTTTATATCCTTCCATTCAACTAAATAAAAATATTTAGCCGTAAAAGAACGATTCTGATAATACTACTATTAATTTTTTAGAAATTTCGACAATTAAAAGAGAAATATAAAAATAGACATTATTTTTATAAAAGTTAATAAGTTGTCGATTTTTATCTATTTTTTAATGGGGGTGAAGATTAGATTTCGTCGAGTACATACTAAGTATTTTCCTCCTATAAATTTACACGTGAGCGGTGGGGATGAAATAACAGAGCTCCTTTGCAGAAGAAAGAAATTAACAACACAGCTCTGCCAAAGAAGTTGCAGGAACAGAGAGGGAGCAGAGCCACACCGCCATGGATGCAAGAGAAGAAAGCTTCAAAATCTTCATGCTTCCATGGCTGGCCCACGGCCACATATCGCCCTTCATAGAGCTCGCCAAGAGGCTTGTCGAGAGAAAATTCCTTGTTTATTTCTGCTCCACGCCTGTAAATCTGGAAGCCATTAAACCAAATCTTCCCCAAACCTACTCTGCTTCGATTCATCTACTGGAAATTCATCTCGATTCGACGCCGGAGCTTCCTCCTCATCATCACACAACCAAAGGCCTTCTGCCGCATTTAATGCCCAAACTCGAAGATGCCTTTAAAATGGCTTCCCCCAATCTCGAATCCGTCCTCAAAACCCTAAATCCAGATCTCCTCGTCGCCGACATTCTCCTCCCATGGATTCTTCCCCTCTCTGCATCGCTCAACATTCCGATGATTTTTTTCAGCATTTTCGGCGCCACGGCCATCTCTTTCATGTGCAATCGAACAGCCTCCGACGAGCTTCGATTTCCTGAACTTGAACTTCACGAATGCTGGAAATCAAAATGCCCCTATCTGTACAAGGACCACGCCGAAGGTCAATCGTTCTTGAAATACTTGGATCTGTCCTCAGCTATAATTTTAA